ATCCCAAACAAGTCTCATCATGAATCAGTGGTCCAAACTGCCTTAAGCCTTCTTTGCTTCATCCTTGAATCAATAACTGTCATGGAAGATAAGGTTATCATCACTGGTTTAAACAAATCACCTAGGTGGAAAGGATGCTGGGGAGGCAAATTGTCCACCGGAATGTGAGTTTATGTGTGTGTACATAAGGGCCTGACCATATGTAAGCATATTTGTGTAATGCAACCATCATCTATGAGCCACACAGAAAGTTACAAAGGCATATCAGTAATTAAACCTGGTGTAAAGATATCAAAAGAGAAAGAATTTAGAGTGGCCCCCTTAAACTGGAATACCACATGCTCGCTTTGTATTCACACTTACCCCCTAACTGTTCTTAGGACTTGAAAGGTCAAAGGTCTTCAAAGGCTGTGCTACTAGGGTATTTTTCAAGACTGAATAATTAAGACTTCGGGGGAAAAAACCATTGTGAGAAAAGGAATGGCTCTTGGTATTAGATTAACCTGAGGAGACAAGGGTGGGGTTTACTGAAAAGTAGATGATTTGCAAAGTATAAGTAAGAAGATAGCTTTGTTTTCACAGAGAGATAGGGTCCTAAAAGCAGTGGGACAAAATTAAGGAGTGAAGAATTCTGCAGGTGGACTCCCCATGAGAGTTTAACTTCTTAAAGCACTGTTTCTTGTCACATTTAGTATACAGCTTAAAACTTTTCCACTTCTATATCATAACTGGAGCCCTGGTGGTGCAGTGGTTAAGAGCTCGGCTGCTAACCAAAAGGTTAGTAGTTTCAATCCACCAGCCGCTCCTTGGAAACCCTATGGGACAGCTCTACTAAGTCCCATAGGGTCACTATGAGTTGGAATTGACTCAGTGACAACGGGTTTGGTTTTGGTTTTGATTATATCATAACTGCTTTTAATTACATAATTCTTCAGTCTGATACACATTTCTATTATAGTTGTGTCGTTGTGTGCCGTCAAGTCGATGCCAACTCATAGCAACCCTATAAGACAGAGTAGAAATGCCCCGAAAGGTTTCCAAGGCAGACTGCCACATCTTTCTCCAATGGAGTGGGTGGTGGGTTCGAATGGCTGACCTTTTGGTTAGCAGTCAAGCGCTTAACCACTGCACCACCATGGCTCTGTTCCTCTTTAGTAGCATGGAAGTATATCGCATTATGTCATTACATGATTAAACACCCCAGTGGCTTTCCAATGCACTTAGTCTAAAATCCCACCTTCTTATAATGGCCTTGAGGGCCCTAAATGATCTGCCCTGAGCCTACCATTCCAACTTCATCTTATTCCACTTGCCTCCTCAGTCATTATTCTCCAGCCACACTGGCTGCTTTATCTATATCCAACATGTCAAGCTCCCTCCTGCCTTACAGTGTTTACACCTGCTACTCCCTCTGCCTGGAGAGCTCTTACCCTAGATCTTCACATGGTGGCTGGCTCCATCACATCATCCAGTTATTAGTTCAAATGTCTCAACCGTCTCTGCACTCCCACCACCATCCACCACTTCCACCACATACACACACATGCACACATACACACTCCCACCTCAATGGGCCAATGACCTTTTTCCCTTCTATAGATGGCAACCTTTGGGTCAGACACAAATTTCAATAGTCAATTACAGCATAGTAATTTAAATACCAGGAATTGAATGCATAGAGGCAAAACAGTAGGAAGAATATAAATAGCAAGTAAAGTGTTAGTGACCAAACTGAGCTAAAAACACAGAAATGATTATCAAGCCAGTTCACCAAGATCTCAGTTTTCTGAAAGATCATGTGAACATTCAAGACAAAAAAAAAAAAAAAAGGCAGATTATAACTCCAATTCACACACTAGCTATAAGTTTTCATCTTCTTTCTGGTAAAATACAGATATCATCTGCTTCTCTTATGCCTTAATGACATAGCAAGGATGAAAGGATGGCATGATGGTCATTTTGAGCACCTCTAAGAAAATGCATGCTTGAGTTAATATTATTCACCAGCATTTTTCATCAGTATATAAATTATATTTACTATCCAAGTTATTTACAGAAGTAATAATCTACTGCTTTAGTAGACTTTGTGGTACAAATGTTTATTATTATTCTTTAAAAGTTCCCAAGATTAAAAAAAAAAAAAGATCATTCATACAAACACTAATTTAACATTTAAAAAATGCATGGTTAAATCTCCTGTCAATTTTTTTTTAATACAGCATTAAAACAGGATTCAAAGAAAAAACAGAAAACAGTAATTCTGCTCACAAAAACTTAGTATTTGACACAGGAAGATGCTGCCTAACCCTCCCATTTTCTAAATTTGGGGCTTCTTCAGAGATTCTCTGTCAGCAATCCAGGCCAGTGCAGATGCACTACTATAGCAGTCCACTCTCAAAATTCTTAAAAACCCATTGGGGCTTGTCAGTCGGGGGCAAATTAAAGCCTTATGTATTAAGAAGCAAATAATTTGAAAAATGTACAGGGGCAGTGAACCTTGAAGTTATCAGGCATCGAAATGACTGTAACAGTGTTTTGTATTTTCAGCTGTTGTCTAAAAATGTATTGCAACTGCTAAACTTAGGCCTAAGGTTTAAGATGATGCTTATAAATTGTGTGTAAAACTCTTAACAAAATTTGTATAAACACCTTTTCTTCTTTTCAAGTTTAAATAAAATCTACACAACATCCAAGTAACTAGACAGGACAGATTTCTGGAATCAAATTAAATAACCCAATGATTTTCTGGTAGCAAAAATGCATTACTGCATAAAACATTTATCAGCTAATTCAGAAGTGGACAGCAATAGAGAAAACCTGAATTAAGCTGAAGTCTGGTGATGTTGAGAAACTCGTCTGAGAAATGTTGCTACAAATCCTACCTTTAAAACAAAATCTACCTCTAAATATACAGAATTGTTTAATAGAAAAGGAAGAAACTCCACTTTATATTAACAATTAGCACCAAAAAAAAACTTCATAGCTGACTTTCTGAAGATACACTTTATAGAAACAGACTATTAATTCTATGTTTTAATTTTCAGTAACTATAAAATTAAAATTAATGTGTATGATGGGAATATTTTCCTTGGATCTTTTATAGTTTTGAGAATGTTTGAAGCCTTGAGTTATTTTTACATGGTCTTCTTGAAGGAATTGATTTCTTTATCCTTATGTTTTATATCTTAAAATATTTTGGAGACGGTAAAGACAGGAATAATCTTTTTTTATTTTAAAGAAGAGCCAGAGCAACACTTCCTTTGCCAAGATTCAAACAGTTACTCCCTTCTCAACACAGGATGAGTATATAAGAGAATATCAACTTTATAGTTCACTTTTAGATTTTTTTCAATTTTTTTTACTAAAAAGAATTTAACTAAGATGTTTACTATGTAAACAATATATCTGAGAACAGAGGAATTCTACATTGCCTTATATGACCCTAAGTCTACTACAGCAGGTATCTCTAAAACTAGTTAAATGCTCATTATACAGAGGTAATTTGTCCGTAATTGAAAAAAGCCTGCAAAATTAACAAACGAATACTATTCGGACACTAAAAAGCTGGCAACGGTTATATAAGCTTTAGCCTTCAAAAACCACAATCAGAACTCTGGACGATTAATCAAAATTTTAACACTTCCCATCTGTACAATTGTTCAAGGTAGTGCTTACTATTACTTGACAAGTTGCTTAGCATTGCAAAATTTGGTAATTCATGTCTTACTGAATTTTTACTGACTTGGAAGAAAATAAAACACCAATTAAAAGCAGATGTCACCTTTAATGCTAACTGGCTGACAAACTTTTAATTTTTTAGTCAGTGTAGCGACAGAACGCATGTACATGACATTTTGGACAGTTAAATATTCAAAGTCACTGATACCCCTCACAAATTTGCAAGTGATTTTCCAGAACTTTAATCCCACAGGGCTTTTATCTGGCAAGCATCCAAAAAGAATAGTTTCAAGTAGTCATCTAGAAGGTAAATTTACTGTTTCATTTTTACAACATCCAAGATTAGAACATTACAAAACTTTCTGAAATTTTGCATCTTAATCTTTACACACATAAATTTTTTCCCAAAACCATGTTGTTCTTTTATTAAAACTCTAGCTAATTAAAAAAAACTAATGCAAAGACTTGATAAACTGTGCTTAACAAGCTTTTATATTTAAATGACTCAATTGCTGATTCACCATAAAATAATCATCTGATTGAGTACAGCCATTTTTTCAGTGTTTTACAATGCTGTATTGTTAAATTCACTCACTTTTGATTCTATCCATAAATTCTGAACAAAACTTCTTAAATTCAATCTTTTGACTAGGAATCAGCCAATTATTCTTCATACACACACAACTGGCAACATTAAAACCTATTTGTCTTGCAATAAAACCCAAATTTCATATATAATTATTAAACTTAATATACATAATGGATTATAAGATTTTTAATCTTCTAAAGATAGCATCTTTAATACTAATTCATCTGTGTGCAGTAACTTGTAAGAAATCCTGAGTCCAAAAATGTGTCATTAGAACGTTAAGCTTTTTTACAAAAAGAAAACTTCCAGGTTTTCCCAAGCCTTACAATTTCAAAAACAATATTGATATATGTCCTGTCCCTATGTCCAACAACTATCCACCGCTTCCACAGACTATCCCTTAATGATCTACACAAGCCTTTAAAAGCTACAACAAGTCGAGTTGATATCAACCAGGCAAAGAGGGGAAATGAATCCCAAAACAAATCCCAGGGATCCAATCACAGCAATTTGATCCCTAGGAACTGTAAGGCCTATCAAGCCCTTTGCGTCTGTAGGCTCAGTGCATGATAGACTTGCAGAAGGGTCAGAAGACTGATCGGGTATTGTTCACTTTCAATGTCTAATACAGTACATTTGAACTTTAACAGAAAGCCAGACACGAAAGAAGAATTTGGGGAAGATGAAATGGAAAGGTAGTCACAAAGGGGATTTAAGGGGATAGCCTACCTACCTGTCACAACTTCTGTAGGCCTCATCTTTGCATTTTCATCCAGCTTCATGCATTGCTAATCAGAGATCAACTGGAAACTTCAGAAGCAGCTGAAAGGCCTCACAGGGTATTTGGCTTTCAATTCTTCTACTCTGTTTATTCCCAATACAAGTATATTCATCAGGCTTAGAAACAACTCTTGAACAAGGGCAGCCACTCAGCAATGAAATGTAAATTACTGACATGTGCTGAAACCTGGATTTGCCACCACTAATGAGCACATTAAAGAAAAAATGCTCAGTAGATGACTGCAACCTTTTTACTTAACCCTGTGTGAACGGAAAGTCACAATTCAACATCAATTAAAGAAGCTAGCTGCAAAACAGTAACAGTCTATTGCAGCCCTGTCATCACTTTTAAAACCTTATACACCTAAAAGCTAAGACAAACATGAGATTTTTACACTTCATCTACTAAAACTGTTGTGCAAACTATCTACCATTGTGCATGTGGTCAGCTTTTGTTAAGATTTGTGAAACTTGTCTAAAAGTTGCCATTATTTCAAACAGTGTCCTAAGGGTACAAATAGGATATATGATTGTGGAAAGAAAAAAAATAAATAAAGTAATAAAGTTACGGGTTATTTCTTAATTCAATCAAAAAATTCTATCTAAAGCATACCAGAAACTTAAAACTCTGAACGTTTAGAAGCTTGTCAAGAAAAAAAGTATGTCACATAGATCAACAACTTCAATATCAAAATATACAAACTGTGGTTTAATTTATTGAGGCACAGAATATTAGAACATTATAGTCTATTCACCAAAATCCAATCTGCAATTTTCAGTGGGGAATCTTAAGTGAAATGTGAAGAACAGCCAGTATCTACTAACTCTTTTCTAAAAAACTATGATTTTCATAATTAAGATAAAATTAAAATTTTTAAATGAAAACTTTAAAATAAGTGTGGCCATGGAATGAATGGATAAAGGGTATTTTCAGTATCTTAACTTACTTATTTTAAATTATTGTCTGGCATGGAAACTACCAATTTTTCCAAAGAATACTACAAATACAATTAAGCACTTGTGACATTAATTTGATCCCTAGGAGCTGTAAGACCTATCAAGCCCTTTGCATCTATAGACTTACTGCATGATATTCAGACTTGGTGGAAGAGTTAAAAGGTTGATCACTAACCTTGATCATAACTTTATCTTTCTCTAAGGACCTAAAAAAATAGCAGATTCTTAAAGCCCCTAAAGAGTAATCCTAACCAATATTGTACAATAACATAAACATTCTGGTTATTTTCTTTTCGTGGTTCCTGGCTAAAGTTAAGTTTAATAGTATGCAGTTATACGTGAGCTTTTAAGAACCCCTGAGGTTTGAAAAAACAACAGACTTCAATCAAAAGAATCTAGGTTCTAGTCCCAACATGCTGTTTACCTAGCAGTATATGATTAAGAAAATCACTTAAAAAGAAAATCACTTTACTTCTCTGTGATTCAGTCTCTTCATCTATACAGTAAGGATAATGATATCACAGGGTATTCACAGATAAAAAGAAGAGGCACGTGTGAAACCACTTCACATAGAGTATTTGACAATCTCCCACATATGAGAATTATTAATTCACTAAGAACCCGTCCCCATACTTCCTCTATCTGAGACCCATTCAATACCCACTTTTGGCTTATTTAGAAGTGTACCTGTCTATACACCAGAAGCTCAAGTGATTTGACTTTCTTCTACATTGAAGAAATGTACTCCTAGCCAGGTAATTTTCCGAGATGGTAAAAACAGCATTTGTCTACCTTCTACAGGAAATGTATTTCTGCGTTATTGGTGACTTTTTGGCACCTAAGAGAGAATTGTTTTATTTCTTATTACTTACTCTTTATCTTTCAATATCTGCAGCTCATCATCTCCATTTCTGTTTTTAATCTACACCAGTGTTGTTACTGCCGCTAAGTGCCCCTTGCCCCAGGCACTAAAACTATACTAGCCGGAGCATCTGAAAAGCGATTCCTCCAACGTGTGGATTCCTGGTTGCTGCCACATACTGACTCAACAAGTACCATACTGCAGACTCTACTACACACCGCTGTTGCTGATTTCTACAATTTCTTCTTCTATGCGCTTTTTTTCTTATCCCTTCTGCTTCTTTTTCTCACTTCTAGGTTTATGGGAGAAAGCAGGCCTTTTACAAACAACATAATCACTTTTGAATCTAGAAATACACTACATGCTACAGACACCAACAGGCTGAACAAGTTATAGAAAAAAAATGAAAACAATGATGGATGAGAAAAAAAGTTGAAAAAAAATTTAAGGCTTTACTTTCTTTTGTCCCATAATTACTTGCATAATCTCTTCTTCAGAGATAGTATAACCCAGTAGTTACGAGCATCTGCAATGCCTGGGTTTGAATCCTTATCCTGTCACTAATAGCTGTGACCTTGAGCAACTTTCTTAAGCTCTTTCCTTCTGCTTCCTCGCCTATGAGGTGAAGATAATAATACCAACCCTACAGAGTCACTGGAGTCCTGGTGGTGTAGTGATTAAGAGTTCAGCTGCTAAACAAAAGGTCGGCAGTTCAAATCTACCACCTGCTCCTTGGAAACCCTATGGGGCAGTTCTACTCTGTCCTATAGGGTTGCTGTGAGTCGGAACGGACTCAACGGCACCTAATAACAACAACAGCAGGGTCGCTGTAAGTCAGAATCGACTTAATGGCAATGGGTTTGTTTGTTTTTTTCTTTTTAGCGTAGGACTGTTATGAACAGCAAATAAATTAGTATGTGTAGAGTGCTTAGAATAACACACAGTAAGTACTAAAAAAAAGAAAGAATATTTTCTAATGGTAGAAATCTCATCCACTCATAGCATGGCCATGATTAACCTTGTCTTGCTTGTACTCTCATTTTATCTAAACTCATCATTTCCTTTTTATCTTTCTCTACTATACACTTATAAAACTGTTATTCCTTTTAACTGTTATTCCCTGGGTAGTACAAAGGGTTAAGGTACCAACTGTTAACCAAAAGGTTCAAGGTTCGAGTCCACCCAGAGGCTCCATGGATAAAAGGCCTGGAAATCTACTTCCAAAAAAATCAGCTATTGAAAACCCTGTGGAGCACAGTTCTACTCTGACACACATGGGGTCAGGGGAAAAAACATTCCTTTTAAATGGGGTGATAAATGATGGGGACCGTGAAGATAATTATCAAAACCACAGACAGACTTTATAATACCACCTAACAAATATAAGCCCAAATTAACGGTCCACAAAATAAAGACGGAAAAATAAATTCAATATTAACAAATATTTGTGGAAGACAAAGAGATTTATAAAACCTCCTCCTGAAAGATTTCTTCATGTTTAAAAATACATATAAACAATTCCATTAAAATTGGTAAAGAATTATTAAAGAGTTTGGTGAGTAGCGTCTAGGGTCTTAAAAGCTTGTAAGCTGCCATCTAAGATACAACTATTGGTCTCTACTAGTCTGGAGCAAAAGAGAATGAAGGAAACCAAAGACTCAAAGAAGAAGCTAGTCTGTAGGACTAACAGCCCGCACGAACCACAGCCTCTTCTAACCTGAGACCAGAAGCAGTAGATGGTGCCTGGCTACCACTATCGACCATTCTGATCAGGGACATGTAAGAAGGTCCTGAATAGAATGAGAGAAAAATGCAGAACAAAATTCAAATTCCTGAAAAAGGCCAGACCTGCTGGAACAATAGAGACTAGAGGAACCCCTGAGACTATCACCCTAGACATCCTTTGAATATGGCACTGAAGTCACTCCTGGAGGTCACCTTTCAGTCAAATAATAAATTCGCCTATAAAATAAACAATAGCACCCGTGAGTAATGTGCTCCCTTAAACAATCAACTATATGAGACCAAACTGTCAACATTCACCCAAAAGCAAAGATGAGAAGGCAAGGAGGGGAAGGGAAGCTAGATCAATAGAAACAGAACAAACAGAATGGCAATAATGAGCATGCTGACACATTGTGAAAATTGCAACCAATGTTATGGAACAATCTGTATAAAAATTATTAAATGGGAAACCCAAAGGGATCTACATAAATGGAAAAACATACCATGCTCATGGATAGGCAGACTCAACATTGTGAAAATGGCAATTCTACCCAAAGCA